ATCGAGATCCTTGTTAAGAGCTTTTAATTTCTTCATGAACACGCGAGCCACGATGTCCGGTCGGTCGGATGCTTTCTCTCCACGGCGTAAGTTTTCCTTGATCTCAGGCCAGTTCGGGTTGCATGTCATCGTAATGAACAGGTTCGGGGCTCCTGTTTCACGGACGATAGCCATGGCATTCAAGAAGCGTTGGTACATGTAGCGGGGCCCACCTGTAAACTTCGGAGGTATGATGATCTTGCGTCCAACCTCACCCGCATCTGGCTCCGCTGACTCCTGCTCCGTATTATTCCCACGGCAAGTCCTACGTATGGCCGCCTCGTCGTCAGCTGCCATTCTGTGGATTTCAACAGACTCGCCACGCAACGCGTCCGTGAGCCCCTGGAGGGTTTCCAATCGATACTGGAGCTGGTTCTTCTTGATGAAGCGCAGGCGCTCTTGTTCGCATTTGGCCCATTGGTCAACGCAGTATTGCTGCGTCAGTCGCCCACCGCGCAGGATAAGAGAATTACTAACCGTCCGGTCGTAAAGCAGATACGCCTCATATTCCCGAACGGACATGGTTAAGAGGTCACCGTGGCGATCGACGGGATTACCAACGTACGGGATATCGTAAGTCCAGCCATTCTCCCCGTACGGAAAGAGTAGAGGATACTGCAGCGGGTCATAGCTAACGCTCGTCTCGAAGATGCGCTTGAAACCTCCTCCTGTCGTGTGTAGGATAATATCCCGATGCTCAGCCGCGTTTGTGTCGATCACAACGGCTGCCTCCTCTGATGCCGTTGGGGTATTATGCGTACCCGGGTTCGCATTCCGTGTGACGTGCAGACGCAGCTTAAGGTGATCCCCCTCCGGAAGAACATTACTCAAGGCTAACGACGGATCATGGTCATCAGCGTCTTCCCCTGCCGCTCGGCGTCGCTCGTGCTCCCTGATGGCTGCTGCATACGCATCCTAACCACGATCTATCAAAAATCTACGCGCGTTGATAAATTCTTGTGTATACGGGTTGTGCGCCACCATCATCTGGTCAATCGTTTCCATGACGGCGCGATCGAGGCCTTGTGTCATGTTCTTACGGCTTCGCACACGTGCATCCATGTCTGGATCGTTAAAGTAAACTTGGGCATACATGGAGCGACCGAAGGTAGGAGGTAGTAACGATCCCATGCGATGGCACACTGACCCTTGTACACGGAAGTTGTAGACACCATTCCGTGTCACGCTTTCGTCAACGTTAAGAGGCCGAGATCGCGAAGCTCCTATGGACGTGAATGCGAATACGTTGTTGTAGGCTCGGATTGACCGCATGAAAGTCGGGTTCTCGAAAAGTGTTAGAAGCGCATCAGGTGCTGTTCGCGAAGTCGGAACGAACACCAGTCCATTACGACAACAGCATCCGTCTGTCTCTTGCGGAAACTTCCAAGCGTTGCAGTAGGGACAAACTCGCTCGTTCTCCCCGTTGTCGTCCGTGTAACGCGTAAAGTAGTGGCGGCCCCCGGAGACACTGGAAGGGTCAAAATGTTCGTGGTAGGCGAGGCCCTTCTTATACTGCCGAGACCGCCTGCGAAACCGCTCTTGTTCTTTGCGATGCTCCCTTTGTTCATCCGTCATGGCTTCCCTTCGCTCTCTGTGCGCGGCTGCGTTTCGTTCACGCTCTGCTTGACGCTGCTCATCTGACATGCCTTCCCGGCGAACTTCGTGCTCCACTGCATCGCGAATTCTTGCATTTTGACTGGCCTCCTCTGGTCTTGTGGCTCTGTGGTTGGCTTGCGCGTCGCGGCTATATGCTCGATGACCCGAGAGGTCTTCTGGCTCCAGTCTACCTCGTCGCACCCTCGCTTGTTCGGCATTTCTGTCGCGGTCTCGAATAACCTGGGATTCGGATCTGTTAGCTCTGCGTATGCGCTTCCTCTCCGCGTCTTTCTCTCGTGCCCGTTGTTTTTGTGAGCTGGTCATAGCAGCTCGCCTGACGCGGGCTCTTTCTGTATCACGCGCACGTGCAGCTGCTGCGCTATCGTTGACCGGAGGTCCGGACATTCCAATCTGAAATTCGTGGGTATCGTGTAGCCCCTCGCGACGCGTCTCCTCCTCGAATCGTCGTTGATGCTCCGCAGGATCATCGTCTTCTGTCTTCTCCTCACGCTCTACTGCCGGAGCAGATACTCTCATCTGCTCGGATTCAGTTGGTGCTGGTGCTTCACCTTAGTCGAGCTGCTCCAACTCTTGGATTGCCTTGCGATAGCGCACCTCTGCTTTACGAAGCCTTTGTTTACGGAGCTGCTTATCTTTCCTCGGTTCCAGTTGCGTGGGTGAAGCGTTCTCCTGCCGAGCTCGTTGTACACGCTCATCTAGTTCCTCACGGGTAATTCTAGTCATTGTACACATTGAGTCAAGTTAATTGTACACCAAATCCCGCTACACAGTTGCTAGGAAACCTTTTGCTTTTCCTCGGGGCTCTTGCCATGTCCTCGTATCTTGAACTGGACTGTCGCCTGATTTAGATAGTACAAATCACATTGACAGTTAGACTCGAAAGTCTAAGTGCACTGGAAACTATGCTACAGCTACTTCATGAATTTAAGCACCAGAACATGGACACGGTAGCTTAAGCAACGTGGTATTCGAATAGAGCCCCGAACTTTCCTTTCCAGTACTAATCCAGAAGCCCTCTGTGAATAGAACACACCACTGTCATTTCCATCCCGGCTCCTCGGATTACAAACAACTTAGGGGTATCGTCACTCCAGGCGGCTTGTTGGTCCAGTCAGATTTTGCTTAGGCCCTCCCCTTGGCCGACGTGTTACAGCCCTTAGCTCACGGTCCGACGGGTCCAAATTACCTTGCACGGCTGTGGACCAAGCAGCTGTACATGGTAATTAAGACGCCGCATCGCGCTGTTGCCTCTTGGGTACGTCAAAGCTGTTGCCTCATCCCTGTTGAGTGGTTGCCCAGGTCTGCTCGATACCGTCCAGCCCTTCAGGTCATGTCAGTAGTATGCGCAGGGTGTCCGAGAACGACCCAGCCCCTCACGGGGCTCACACAGTTCCGGAAATGCTCTAAAACTATCTATTATGACGCTATGCTATCTAAGTGTACAGGCGCGGGGCTCACTCATACTCTTAAAGTGTTTTTTTCTTGATCTCTTGTTCTTGAGCTGTCCTTGCGCTTGGTCTTGGGCTCCTTGCTCTTGTGAGACCGACTGCTGCATTCCTTTCCGTCCCGCCAGAAGTGATCTCGCAAAGTGTGTTTTGATGTGGGAGCTCACACTTTAAGAGCACCTCTGTATTGCGGGACTGTAACGACTCTTCCGCATGTGGCTGCAACTTCGGTTTGGCCAATTGGCAGCACGCGCCACTCACTTTTGGAGCGTGAGCACTCGCGGTGGGTCTAGGACCCCTAGGCGCGTGCATGGTGGAAGACGCTCCCAGTCACACCCACCCCAACCTAATTGCTATCGCTACCAACTGCCATACCACTTTGGAGTCTCGGGGCAAGCATCAGACTGTATCCTGAGAGGTCTCTCTTGAATATATAGTAGGGCAAGGAGCCCCACGCCCGTACATACATGCATATACATCTAAAACTACCCTGCTGCTTTTATACAGCCAGCGCACCTTGTCCTCGCCGCGCCGTCGCTCAAAAACCAATTTTGTGTTTTGAATGAAAAATGAGTCGGAAAATATTGCCCAATCAGGGCGTGAGTTAATTGTGTCCGCTTTTTGGTCATAATTGTAATTCAGGCATAGTTAGGTCGAGTCAGAAAGATAGGCGCGGTCGGTACGATGGGAGGATACTCTATTGGAAAGGCCGAGTGTAGCCATGCGAAAAGGCAGGAAAAAGCAGCAAGAAAGGAACCGGACGGACTTATTGACAGACGGACAGGCTGCAAGTTTGGGAGGCGGGAAACTAGCGGTCTGGGCGTCCGCTCCGCGGACGCTAGGGCATGGTTGGTTGGCGTAGAGAGGGCCGACCACCTCCGCTGCGCTGTGGTGGGCTTAGAATTTCTACTCAAAGCGAAGCAACATATAAAACATGTATACTGTGATCTACTTATCTTACGTTCCAAAACCACACCGCACAGAATACCCTTATTGCTCACAGGTTATGGTAGACATGACCAGGGTTTAACGTGATCTGCAAGATGAGTACCATCTTACCCGAGAACGTTTTGTCTATAATCTCATTTGAGCGCATAGCTCCCAAAATGACACCAATCGGAGGCGCGCGTGGTAGCAAATGTAATATATGCTGTACGGAAGACGGGTCAGTATCAATGATGCTACGAATTTGCATAGATCGGTGAGGATTCCCAGTGTAGATAGAGTAAATATGTCTACTCACACGTATTACCTATCTGCACGTCATCGCCGTGAGGCAGTCGACACATATCATCGATTGCGACGGTCTATTAGAGCAATGTTTTTTAGCTTCTCGCGCGAAGTCTCTTTTAGAATAGGTAGTATTTGCCGATGGTCGCCACAAACACCAATATTATGCTTTGAAATTATTCTGCTGGGCTGTTTGTGATATAACTGAAGGGTATTTCCACTATCTTCCGCATGCATTTATCATACTTGCATAGCTGATGTACTTTCGGACTTATTTGCATAGCTACTGACTGACAGAGTGGCGTAAATCCTTTCTGACAGACTTTTTACTGGGTCCGATATGTACGACAAACATACGAAGATATATGGTTGTAGGCAGAGTATCTGATCGTAGTGATATTTAGACTTAAATAGAATAATAGTTAATGTACATTAGATGGAGTACTTTCGCTGCCTACTTATCAGCTCGGCGTGCTAATTGATTTGTCCGTGCATATATCGCAAGGCCGCTAATGAGTGTATATGCCTCGCGCTCGTGATAGCCCAACCTTTGTATATGGGGTCACGGTTTTTTTATCGGTACTTGTGCGTCATCGTGCTAGCTTTCTGTGCTGACGCTATAGATGTATCAGTCCGTAGAATCAAGCGCGTCACTAACTGGGCACAGGCATGCTGACCGCGCGTCTGTTAGCAATAGCCAACGCGATATATACGTGCGCGGCGGGTATACCTTCTGTTAGCAATAGCCAACGGGATAAATTTGCGCGCGGCGGGTACACCGCGATCCGCGACACAACCGAGCTCTCGGTCATTATGGACAGGACATTAATTGGCGAGGTGTGTGATGGGCCGGGAGTGTGTAGCGAGGGTGTGTCGACGGCACAACGCTTGTATCAACCAAAGCTTCGACAGATAGGTCTCCTTCGAAGTCGGCAGCTCCCACGTTCAGCAATGCGACTTGCATAGATCTCATGAATTCTGCGTGCGTGGGTGGAGCACGACCTGGGATCTATCTTGCTTTGACGCGGCGATGGATGATGTAGGCATTGACTAACGCCATGTCAATGAGTCCGATAAAGATAGTATGATAGTACTTCTTCATTTTTATCGCTCCCTGTAGTGTACAGGATAACAATTGTCAATATGAAACCAAAGTAGTGTAGGATACAAATGGTAGTACCTGTATTGAATATCGCTGGAGCCGCAACTGATCATGTATATCTGCGCCTCCCATGCCTTCTTGGTAGTCCTTGACGAGCTGGGGTGCTGGGACGTCAACAGTGTCAGCGCCTGCACGTCTTACCAAACTTACCACACCAGTACCGCAGCCCGTGGCAATGAAGTGAACGGGACGGTTGTCCATCCACGAAACGGCCACCATGCTTGGCTCTACCTTTGACTGTGCAATTCGATACAGCCCTCTCTTCATCTTCTTTGGCCTCTTGGCTTGCTTGTATGGAATCGTGTTGCAATATCCGCGCCGGTTCGTCTGAATGGTGCCCACGTGATAAAGACCCCGTTGTAGGAAAATCGAAGACAGCAGCACGCTCGAGTAGAACCGATCCGTAATGACGAGTCGTTTTTTCGGCAGTCCGTCGAGCACAGCATCAAGGTTGCGAAATACCGCGTTTGGTCCCTGGTTCAGATCAGCACTATCACTCGTCAGCCGCCCTTGATAGATTTCAGCCCTGCACCGGATAACAATCACAACTTGTTAGACGCTAACCTGTAGAATACATAGATTTTCTTTGACATACCTGTAGCAGTAACCCGTTGCAGCGTCGCACGTCAAGTAGCACTTGGTACCCCATGGATGGGGCTTGGCACGAAGGTATTGCCGCATGGGGTTGTACTTGCTCTTCATGGGTATCATACCTTCATCAAATGCAATGCGCTGTCCAACACTCATGCCTAACTTGAACGTCTTATTAATTGTATCGGCAATGGACTTGATCTTCTAAGTCTTGTATTGCTTTGCAGAGGCGTCGTTGTTGTTGCCAAAGTGCATGAACCGCACAATTTCTTCGAAGCGTTTTCTTGACATGAAACTTCCGAAGGTGCCTTTTGGTACCGCGCCCTGTGCATCGACTGCCCAGTGTTTTGCTAGCTTCTCGCGATGCGGGCATAATGTTCTTGCACATAGTAGACCAATGAAATGCACCAGTTCATGCGGCTGGATAGGCTTGAATGCGTCTAGCTCCTTCTTCACTTGTTGCAGAGTCTTCATTTTGTAGTCGGGGCGTCTCTCCTTCATGCGGCGCTGGCGAATCATGATCGATTCAATAGCTTGGGACCGGAACTGGCGCTGATAGCGATTAGACTCATTTGCTATGGATATCCACATCTCCTTGGGGAGAAAGAGGAAGAAGAGTCCTTCCATATTACACCCGAGTGCTTGCGCGATCTCAGTTGGAGCTGGTGTGCAGTTGGTCAGACTTGCCGAAGGCAAATCGAGAGAGCTGCCTGCATTCAGCACACAGTTTTCAAAGTTAGCGGATAATACAGGATAGTACAAAGGGTTTGATGAATGCAAACCTGTACCGTACAGGATTATACTTACTTTCGGCTTCGAAGTATGTTGTCCAGCCCGTCTTCGCATGCTCGCTCAGGTCTTCCTTGCTCATTCTGTCAAAGGGCGTACCCACCGACAAATCCACCGCATCTTCTTCATCACTTGTTTCCTCGGGATCACTAGCATCACTTGCAGAGCTCTCGCTGGCCGCATCCGCGTCAGAATAGTCGCCATCCTCCAATACAAAGTCGTCTTCGTCTCCAGACTCCATTCTGTCGTTACCCGTCGATAAATCCACCAGATTTGTCGCTGCGGCTACATGAGTCGGTCTCGGTGGCGATGACGTTGGTTCAATAGCTGGAGCGGTGGACTTCCTGGCTCGTTGTTTTGTAGATGCTGATGATTGCTTGGCCTGAGCCTTAGCCGGTGTCGTGGATGGGGTCGTGGCCGGTGACTTGGGCGGCGTCACTGATGGAGTCTTGGTTGGAGCCTTGGGCGGCGGTGTGGATGGGGTCTTGCCAGGTGACTTGGGCGGCGCCTGGCCTGAGGCCGCCGTACGCGATTTGCACGACGTCTTAGCTGGGGCTTTGCGTGGAGGTTTGGCTAGTGCCTTGGCCGGAGACTTGGTCTGAGCCTCCGCTGGTTTGGCCCGGGAGGTTGACTGAGCCTTGGTCGGAGGTTTTGTAGTTGATGCAGCAGGTTCCATGTTCAGCTGCTTCTCAACAGGCGCCGATGCAGATGCGGATCGCTTGGCAGGAGGAACCTCATCATACAAAACTTTTGAATATTAGCCACTAGATTGTAAGTCAGTACCATCCAATCGACATTCCTTCCACGGGTAAATGCTTCCATACTTCATCTGGCCCATCGAAGTAGTCGACAAGATGCGTAGCGTTTGGTCTTCTTGACCGAAGTATCGGTTTTGGCTGGATAGCCCTTTAGGTCGCTCGAATTGCCATCCTAACCTTTTTAGCTTCGTCCAGAGCTTGCCCCAAGTTATTGGCCGGATGTGCTTCCGCTTTGGCACGAGGCTGCTCTTGCTGATGTCCGTCCGATTCGCAAATGGCGCGAAATTTGCGCACCGCTCGCTCTCCCTAAATCTCGAAAAAGTCGTAGCCACGAATTACTGCCCCGAGGTTAGCAACGTGATTCTAAAACTTTATAATTCAGTGGACACTTGAAGTTTGTATGGAAACACTTACTTTTTGTAATGAGGAAAATGGCCTTTTTGTTATCCTGTAGAATACAGGATACGAAAATTTATATCCTGTAGAATACAGGCGGCGGAGCTAGAGGGGTTAAATAATATATATTGCCGTTGTCGTCGTGAGACATCAACTATAAAATAAGTTTTTACTTAAGAATATTGTATCTCGTAAAATAATAAGGTTTGAAACGTGATTTCGCTAAAAATTGCTATTTCTATAAATCAGCCTAATTCTAGCAGCTCAATCGAAATAGCTGCTCCGTGGAAAAACAGGTCTACTATAAATTTGGAAACCAGACATTTGAGGGTTTTCTAACCAAAAACCGGACACATGGCCATGATTGTAGAGAAACAATGTTTGAAATTTGTGAAAGCTTGAATCAATACGGAAAACAAATGAAAAAAGTTCCCAATCGAGTGATGAGTAACAACATCTGTGAAACAAAACCATACAAAAAAAAACAAGATAACCTAATAAACACATTTTTTGTATGAGTATTAGCAATGATGCAAGCAATGACCAATCCATCGTACCTGAAGATATCACTCTGCAACCTTACTACATATCCTGCATCTGTGTTGCATTAAGCAGCACTACTCACCATCAGAGGCGCCACAAATTTTCTTCGGTGTTGGTGTCTGCCCACCAGTAGATTAATCATCAGCAGACCGACGTCCAGGCGGCCGAATCTGAAACTTACCAGCATACTCAGGAGGGATCAAACACTAGTTCTTCCAGTCGCGATACTAAATATCCCAGCATGTAGCCGCTACCCCACGGACTTTGCGGTGGGGGCAAAGCACAAAATTTCGAGCCCAAACGTGTTGCACTCGTTGCAGTAATACGTAGACGTCTTTGCGCTTACCTAACCTTTTTGCCTCACCCAGTGCCGAGCAAACGTTGCCATAGGGTCGCAGCCGGTAGTTGATGTGAAGCAAGCGTGCACAAGGTACGCCACGGAGACGCAAATCCTGTAAGTAATTGATAGCAGGTCTTAGGTAGAAAAGGATTGTAATAAAGAATCTACCTTGGTTAGAAGGAATTTACCGAGCAAACGTTGCGGGCTAGTCGATAGCGTTTATTACGTGTCTTCTTATCTCGAAAATGCTGAAGCTGATGTACAGTGTTTGCAGCTCCAACGCTGCTTCCGATGATCAGCGGTTCCGGTCACGCTGATGCTGCGTATCATTGTACCCCAAACTGATTGCCTTAGTAGATGTAGGACGCTTACAGCTGGCAAAGCTGCAAATGAAGGGTTTTCATGTAGACGGCGTGTGGCATTGGCTTGTCCTGTTTGTTCTTGTAGTAGGCCTTGTGCACAATGTACCCCTTTACGATAAACATATCTAGTGGCCCCAGCACCAACGACGCGTCATATTTTTGGAACCGCTCAGCGCATTGCAGCGAGTAGAGCTGCAGCCGCAAATGGTCATGCACGTCCACGCTCCCCATGTAAGCATGCTATTCTTTGATTACTCGAGGGCACGCTGTACTCCACATCCGTCACGACGTACGACGCGTTTCAGCTCCAAACTACTCCCAGTAGCAAGAAAATGTACCGGTTTCGAGTCCCACCAAGAAACAGCTGCCAGGTTTGGTATAGGTTTAGAAACTACAACCTTGAAAGTCCCTCCATTAATTTCTTTAGGCCACGTCTTTCTCTTATCGATCACTCTCGTGCAGTACCCAACTCGATTTGTCATTATAGTTTCGACACCGTAGAGCCCAAATCAGAAGCAATGGGATTGCCAGTGCATCTGAAGTGTCGGCATAGTCGTCGCTGTGAAAGGGCCTATCGTAACACGAGTTGTCGGCGTAGTTGGCGTCGTAGAACATGGCGTAGATATCGCCAGATGAGCTGTCGGCCTCGTCGATGAGAGAGTTGTTGGTGCCGTCGGTGCTGTCATTGGAGTCACCATCGTAGTTGAATTGCTCGCAGGTGTCGGAGGTGGGACTGCTTCGCGTGCGTGTCGGTCGGCGCATTCAAGGCCTTACAAACGCCGTGTCACTGTTATCGTATGAGATAATGTTACAACAATATAACGTACTTCTTGCATAGTAGCCAAGCACGACTTCAGGCCCCAGGAAAAGTCGACACCTTCCGTTCCGTTAGGGTTTGCGCTTAGGCGTACATAACGATAGCGTCCGTCGAGACAGCGCCTTCGCGTCTTCTTTTATGTTCCGCCATATGCCTTGAGCTTCCTTCGGAGAGATCTAAAGGCCTGGTCGCGAGCTGCGAAACACTG